GGAGGATATAGTGCTCTGTCTGCAAGGAGTAATATGAGTTTGCTTGCACTCTGATTTGAGCTGCATAGCTAGGTTGGACCGCCTAGACCTGCTGGGAGGCTCTGAGCGCTGTCTTTCAAGTGCCCTGTTCTGAAAGGCCGGGGGGAGAAAGGTAGATGAGAGGGGAAGGGGAAGGGAAGGTGCCCAAGGGAGAAGGGAATGGGTGGAGGACCCCTCTTGAGCAGTCTGACACCTGGCATATCTTCTGGCATGGCCTCATGTGCAGTCCCAGTGCATCCCCAAACCCCTACAGCAGAGTGATAGTCAAAGGTGGGATGCAGTGGTGGGTTATGAACTCGATAGCTGTAGGTGTCCAGTGCAAGAGGCCAGCAAGTGGTTGCACAGCTGTTTCTTGGTTGTCCTTGACTGTTGCAACCCACATATAAAGGAGACTGCAGAATATTATGTCTGACAAGCCCTCACCAGTTTACATTTAAAAGAAAAAGGGGAAAAAAAAGCCACTTTTTATAAAAGCAGGTTCCAGCTGAAAAAGAAATTGTAGATGAGGGAGCATTGCTAATTGAGAGCATAGATTTTGCATAGTGCTGGAGGTTATCTCCATACGAGCACAAAGGTTGCTGCTGCACACACCGCTTGCAGGCAAGTCACACCGTTCACAAAGGTTAGCAGCACTAATAACAGTATCGATTTGTCTTAATGCAGTTATGAAAGCTGAACTTTGGAGGTGTGGGAGGGCCTTGTCGTTAGTCGGCACTGAGACTAATTAAGAATAGTACTAGCCAAAGGAAACAAATGGAGGCTAGAATAGGACAGGGTAAAATAGTGGCCATTAAGGGAAGAAAAGTGCCTACAACGCTCCAGGCCCCTCCATGAAGTAGAAAGAAATCTACTTAATAAGTAATGTCTACAACACAAAGCAAAGGAAAAGAGTTAAAATCGCTTTGGAGAGCAAAACAAAAAAAAATGGTGCCTGCAGCAGCTTTGGTGAAAACTAATGCAGGTCCAAAGCCTACTACAGAGCGTTACCTGGTCTGACTGTGAACGTGGCACAGTGCAAAAGCACGTCGGGGTGGAGGGAGGTGGTGGATCATCTGTGACCGTTGTGCAGGATTTTTGCACCTGCCAAATAGATTCAACTGTGGTCTGAAGTGAGAATTTAATCCCAGCACTGGCATTCAGGGCTCTGTTTGCAGGTAGCAGCTAGCAAGTGATCGATTTTTACCGGGCAATTAGCCGTGCCGAGCGTGACCGCTCCTGCATGGTGGGTCCCGCGCCTGGGTGCTGCGGGCACAGGCCACGCCGTGGGCTGGCAGCGCCAACCCCAGCGTGCAGGCAGATGCTCCCAGCTGAATGTGCATTACCTGTCAGGGAGGCAAAAGGCTCTGAGTACAAGATAGAGGGCTTTTTGGTCTAAGCAAAAAAGTCAGTTGTGCATTGGAAGGGAAGTCTCCGTGATTTGGGGCTGAAAGGTATCAGTTACCCATGAAGGGAGGGAGGAGGAAGGGACACAAAATGAAAGCATTTGTCCCCTTGGGTTTCTCTGGTCTGTCAAGGAAGCTCTTTTTGCAAGGATGAGCTTTACAAGCTATTCTTTGGACCGGTCTCCTTAAGCTTTTTGCTGACAGCCCTGAAAATAGTAGATTGATGTACACACCTCTTCCTGCCCAGCCTCCAAAAGTTACTGACATCCCTTCCTTTAGTTCTGCCTTGTAATTGAATTTATGCCATAGGTTGCTTCTGCTAATTCAATTATACCTTACTTTTAATTGGCACTGGATTTAGGTTCTTCATGCTCTGTTAGTAGAGATTAACTTCTGCTGTCCAGTTACCCTCTACTGCGTAGGGTTGGAGCAAAGGTTTTGTAAGATTATAAGAATTTAAATAGACATCTTTTCCCCCAAAAGTCTTTTGGAGCTACAAAATCTAGCTGAGCCAGAGAAATGGCGTGTATATTTTAAAACAGTGGCCAAATAATCTTGGTGCAGGCTTGTTGAATGTGGCATGCACAAGGAAGGCACAACAGTTCTGAATCCCCAGCACAGAGGAGGCATCAGAAGAGCTTCTGGGTTGTTTCCTGTTCTGCCGCTGACCTGATTCAACTCTTGTGGAGCCTTTCCACTGGGTTTCATTGTGTTGAAAGCTTGGACAGATTAACAGTCATTTCTTTGTAAAATGAAGATAGCAGGTTTTCTTCCTAAAAAAAAAAAAGATGTTAAACCTAAAATGATTTGTTTAAATGCTTGTACTGCTGTCAGTTTGCAACATTTGTGAATGCCTATCCAGTGAGAGTAATGGAGAATTTCACGGAGTCTCCCCCTTCCTTCCTGTGTGCAGAAGACATGCACTGAAGGAGAAAGACATCAGGATAAAATAGGAAAAGAGCCTTTTTGCCCCCAGGTTCCCTTGACCTTAGAGAGCTGTTTGTTGAACCTATCCTGCAGCTTTTGGGAGGATGTGCGCTGCAGGGTTAGGTCTTTAGGAAAAACTAGTGGCCTAGCACCGTATGTGGTTGGGGAGAAGGCACCTCCAGGAGTGACTGATGGTTCCACACTGCAGCAGCATGACCTGACCTCACTTCTGCAATACCTGTCTTTTCCATGTTATTTATGCAAGAAGCGCAATTTAAGCTCACTGCTTAACTTTGGATATTTTCTTATTGATGATTATATTTGAAAACCTGTGAAGAATCTGTGAATTTCCATAAGAATGAAAAAACAATAATATAATGCTGAATTTTTTTAAGGGGAGGGAGATGGAATTATAGTACAGTCATTCTGACTTTTTATTACAGTATTTTCCTGGAAGCTAATAAATTATTTCCCACGTAAGTGTCTTTTAAGTGTTTATAAGTTACAGTCAGCATGTAGTAGTCTGGAATGAATCATGTCAAACATACTAATTTCCTTCTGCGGCAGGGTAACAGCTCCTGTGGATAGTGAAAGAACAGATGATATGATGTACTCCAATCTTAGTTGCTCAGGAGGAAGCTAGAGAAAAGAAATCTTGACGAAACCTCTGTTTTGTGTGTGGTGCAGGGTAAGTTTGCCAACCATGCTCCAGGATTGGTTCTAGTAAGTGATCAAACTCAAAACAGGTTTTTGGTGAGGATTTGCAGAAGTGGACCTCATGGCTTGGGTCTGTAAGCTATCACCATTATAATTAATGCTTTTGATAAAATATGTGTTCAGACTCAACAGATGGCACTAAATTAGTGGAGGTTATAAGCACTTGGAAGGAGGGATTAGCTTTTCAAAAAACTTTTGCAAACCAGAAAATGAACTTGGAGGTCTGGGTGTTGACACCTGCAGGTGTCAATGCTATTCATAAATCCCTGTTGAGCGAGTTGGCTGTACAGACTAGGAAGTAGTTCCACTGAAAAAAACATTTTGGGATTGTGGTGGGTCGCACACTGCCACTACTTAGTCGGTGTCATCTGGCCCTGAGAACAACAAAACTTTCTGCCCTCCATAAACAGGAACATTGACTTAATGTGTCTCACGTTAGGTCTCTTTGTGCTTTGGCACTGTGAATCCTTTGCTGGAGTACTGAGTCCACTTTGGGGCACTGCATGTGAGGGAAGATATGGAGAAAATCAGAGAAGCTAGAGGCAATCTAGAACAGGGATCTGAAAAGCTGGAAATGAAAGATGGAAAAGAGTGAGGTTATTTAGTCTAGAAAGAAGAGTAAGGGATGGCATAATGGGCTTGAAATACGTGGAAGATGGCAATGAGGGGAAAAATACAAAACCTCTTCTCCGTGTCTGTAGGGGTTAGGACAAGGGGCAAGGACTATGAATGGTATCAAAAAAGGAAGAAGTTCCTGCTTGTTAAGGATGGTTAAGCATTGAGGAGATCGCTGGGAGGTTTTGGTGATATCTGGTGTGTTTGTGGTTGAGGCTTTATGTTGGACAGACCAAATGGTTCATGTGTCTGGGGTAGCATCCTGTGGTGGACTAGAGAGGTTCTTGTGTGTTGGGGTCACAGGCCCACTGGGATTTTGTTTGTAGCAGTTATGGAGTTACTGGATCAGACAGAGTTGTCAGGAGGGATTTGGGTGTAGCAGATCGAGAGGCAGCCGGATGCGCTGGACTGGTGCTTCCTGGGGCTTCTGTATCTATGCCGTAGTGCAGCAGTTGGAGAAATTACACATAGCTCTGCCTGCTCTGCGGCTCTGTGGGAGGTGGGAGTAGGAGCGAGTCATTTGTTTTCTATTTTCTAAGGCACAGACTTTCAGAGATTATGAATTGCAGGAGCAGGTGAGCTACTTCTAGTGCTCTTGTCTCTCATTCCATAAGTGCTGACAAACCATCAGGATTCGTAGCTGGCAGATGCTGAAGGGATATGAATTATTGTACTCTGCTTATTGAAGGAGAGTACTCAGTCTGAAAGAGAAGTGATTTCTACTCTTTCAGAGCAGTGTTTAATAGCTGCAGAAATCTTCAAACTGGCTTGTTCCTATTTCAGTTCCTTTCTTTTCTTCTGTTTTTAGATCTTGGCATACTAATAACTTGAGGTGTAAGCCAAACAGACCTTTCCACTGTGACATTTTGGTGTAACCTGTAAGTTGGTTCTTGCCTATTTTGAGAGATGAGTTTTAAAGGGAGATGTTAGGCAGGAAGGATGATTTTTGGTGGGTTTTTGAATGCCATAAGAATTTGGTATCCAAACACAAGAGCAGTCTGTGCATTTTTCAACAGGTGAGCTGTTTTCTATTTCAGGAAAAATAATAAAATGCAAAAATAGGCAACAAAGTTGCAATTGTTGCTTAGCTTAGGGTAAGAACCAGAGTTTTTGCATATTGAGACAAATTCTAATTTCTTTTCCAAGCGGGAAAGTTGTTGGGTAGTGGGGAAGCTGAGGAGTGGGAAGGTAGTCACTTCAAAGAAAACTGTACTGTAAAGCATGTTTGTTCTGTGTTTTCTCCTTCAGGTAATTGAGCCCTTTGGACTTTCTCTAAGGAGGTTCCAAGATAGGTGGTGAGTCCTTTCCAAATCCTACTCCATTCAAGGTGCTCTTTAAATTGGTATAGTAGAAAATATAAACGTCGACGTTTGTTCTGCCGCTGGTGTAGAAGTTCACCATTTGCTGAGCTTTTGGTACGTTTTAGTTTTAGAGCTAGCAGATTGATCTTTGAATAGGGGTTTGACACCAAAATGTTAAGCTTTACCTTTGCACCAGAATGAATTTCCTGAGACTTGATTAGTTAAATAAATATTAAATATATATTTTTAAACATTTGACTTTGGTAGGGAAAATCTGTACAGATTATGCTATCTTTTGTACTGAAAGCCTACACCGTCCAGTGGGGCAAAGCTTTTTCCATTTCAGAGAACAACTTTCCTAGGGAAAAACCTGACCTTCTCTTTTAATCTAATGGAATGGAACTTATAAAGGTTTACATGACCTGGATAACTCACACTAATCTCTGCTGTGCGCGGCTGATTTGGCTCCTGCCTATGCCCCAAACTTTCATTTATTTCATATATATGTGCTTTACCAGTTTCTTATTTGTAAGTAGATTAAACACTAAATCAGTGAAGAGTTGCAGAAAAATAAGATTTATACAAAAATGCTAATGTTACTGTGTTATAGCCAGAGACTCACCTCTTAAAAAGATGTGAATCCATATTGTTTCTCTTCCTCTGGTGGAGTTGGCCTCTTCCAGGGTGTACCAACTAGGAATCTGCTCTGTGGTACCCTTTGCAGTTTGTTTTTGCTGTTTCTAGATAAATATGTACTCTGTTTCCTCTTTCAATTCTAGATTCTTTCCAATGAGATTAACAGAATTATATCATTACGCATTAATTGCTCAGGAAGTTTATTCTTTAGTTGCATTTTCCTAGTGCACAGGATACAAGCTATTAGAGCTGTTGTGTGTTCAGACTGACTAATGAACTACAGTTGGATGCCCAAAGCCTTTAATGGACTTTTCCATCTTCAAATAATATCTTTCCCATAGAGTGCCTTTTGATACAAATGATCCCAGGTTCATGCAAAATATCCATACTGTGCACAGCTAAAATGTACCGACATTTACTTGTTCCTCTTTGGGGAACAAGTTTGGGGTTGATATGTTGCATTGTGCTTGTGTCCACTTAAAGTACATGTTCACCTTGGTCAAAAAAGGTTACTTTTATTTAACGCCTCTTAAGTATATTTGTTATCGATTACATTTTTTTTTCATCAACAGAATTCTCTTACCTGATAAACTGTGTTGTTTGTTTTCTGTATAAGGGGAACTAAATCAACCCTGCTAGGATTTGCACTGATAGTTGCAATAGATGTAGGCAGCCAGTCCTTCTGACTGAGGGCTGTATCCCTACAACATGTATCTTACAGGGCCAAATTATGAATCCCTTGTTCCTTTTGCAACTGTTCCTGTGAGTAATAGCTTATGAACCTCTGTTCTCTCCCCACCCCTGCAGCTACCACGAATCTTTGTAATAAACCTGAATGCTATTTGTACTGATAATTGCTATACTGAGACTTGAAACATCAGTTGATCTTTTTGACGTGTTGAAAGATGAATCAAACTTGCTGTTCCTTAGGGCAGAGTGGAGTATGGGATTGGTGACTGTAATGTTGTTTGTTTGAAGGCCAGGCAATTTAAACCTGTCAGTTTAAATTGTACATACGATCGAATTTTCTTTTCTTGTTGTTTCAGGTAATGTCTGAATATGCTATAAGTGGAAAACTTATTAATACTCCAAAATATATGCACTTGCTAGAATTACCGGGTTTTTTTTTTTTTCTTTTGCATGGTGCCCTCAGGTGGTGTTTGGAAAACCACAAAAGTCCTATGGTCTTTCAGTGAGACTTGGGCTCCTGAGGTACTTTTGCAAACAGGATTTAGAGGTGTCTATACATCATGTTTTTGCTACTCTAATGCTCTCTATTTCTCCTTGTCTTTCAAATACAGATGGCTTATTCCAATTTGGGAATTTAAATGATCCATACTAGTATGAAGGTACTTGTGCAATGCGTATGGTTTCCATATGGAGGCTTATGGTGGTCTTGCTGTGTTGGTTTCTATTTGGCATTCTGTAAAAGAAGGACCTGAAAGTAGACCAGGGCTGAGTTGCTTGAGCATTTTTCAAAATGCAGTGTGTGGCTGATGGCGCTTGGGGTAGCCTCAGAACAAAGTATGGCACCATAAAAAATATAGAAGTGCTTGAAAGTATGTTGAATTTTACTCAAATCAAGCATACTTGGAATTGATGGTGTCTGACAGCAGTAACTTGGCGCTCTGCACACACTGGTGTGCTTTATGAAGCTTGAAGTGCATCATCGTATTCAGCTGTATGCTCAGTTGGAAAAGGCAGTGGTCCCAGCCTGGGGGTTGTGGGAAGACATATTAAGGGCTTTTCTCGAAAGGTACCGCAGGCTCTGACTGAGCAAGCTATTTAGCTATATTTAGCTATATTTCTGCCTGCAGCTACATAAGTTGCTCTGGGCACAGGCATACTTGTCTTTATCCCACCAGTAGAGGCCGAAGGACCAGGCACGGACCAGATATTCGCCTGAGTTGGGGCCTCCGTGAACAGGATGGCCAAATCGGCATCAGCGTTGGGATCTTCTTTTCGTCATCTCCGGACTCTTTCTGCTGCCTTGAGCACAGCTCGACTCTAGTGTCAGCTAGAGTGGCAGCTTTGTGTCAGAAGGCTGTGGAGCGATGTCTTGTGCGTAGCGGGCATGACTGTAATTTTGGTCCTAGGGTTTTCTGCCTTAGCCTTGAAGCCTTCTGCACGCGCAGAAGATAGGTGGTGGTTTAGATTTCAGGGCAGTGGTGTTACCACAGTGATGTTGGTGTAGCCTTTATGCAAGTATCTTTCAACACAGGGGCACAGAGTCAATAACAAAAGTTGCACACTGCCACAAAATGTTACAGTGAATGGGGAACAGGGATGGATGGGGAACAAGGAGGGGCACCAAAACCTTTTAGCGATAGTGTGAAAAGCCTGCATATGGCTTAGGCCTGTCTCATATCCCATCAGCAGAGGTTGGTTTTGGGAGTTCGTATTCAGCTCTGGAACACTGAAGAAAGTGGCTTTGGAGATTTCCACAAGGTGCACGCAGGGATAGGTGTCCGAGGAGGTGGCTGTATAGCGTAGCTGAGAGCAAGCAGATCTGCACTGAGAGGTGAAGGACAGGTGGCTGTAAACATGTAATGAGCAGTAGCAGAAACTGCCTATTGTTTGCATGTAAGTGGGGCTCTGGCTACCGGGCTGTTTGCGCTCTGGATTGTATGAAGACTTCTGATTCAGCAGTGGAACGTAAAGCTAGAACACCGAATCCTTGAATTGTGAAATAGAAAATTAAAAGTTTACGCAACCGACACCTGAAAGACTTGTCCTATCACACTTACTTTGAGAGACTTCTTTTTTTTAGCTGAAAACTGAGCTGAAACCTTTTCAACGTTCATTTTCAAGGGAAGACAGCTTTAAGGAGGAGGAGGTCATATGAAGTATAACTTGCAAAGATGCCTCAGGACTACCTGTGGCTTGTAACAGAAATTAGTAAATTCTGTTATAGTTGATGCTTGGGGGTTTTCAGAAATACTCTGCACATGCAGTGGCGTCGGATGCCGTGTTTGCACCTCCCTGCGCTGCCTCAGCAGCTGGCTGTGCGTCACAGCTTGCCGCACGCTTGCGAGGTTTCCCCCTCTGCTCTCGGCGCATCAGACCTCCGTTGCACTGATTAAATTCGTATTTGATCCTTTCCTTTCTTCTTCATTACTGTTCGAAATAGATTCTATTAGGATTTTCACTGTTGAGGTGTTTTTATGTTGTGTTGATTTATTTTCCATATATGCTGTTTGCTCATTCAAGGCTATTAAGAAAAAAGCAGAACGGATGAGCAACACTGCTGTTCATCTGTTTTTGTTTTTATGAATGAATCTTCTGTCTGAAAGCTCACAGGCTTTGTGATTGCCTAGTATACAAGGACTTTGAAAATTTCAGACTTTTTAGAGTCAGTACTTTACCTTGTTTGTGAAAATGTAAATGCAGGCTTGTCTTAAAAAATATCACTTATTAGCCAAGATTACAGAACTGTAGGATAGTGGGGTCCAGGGTTTGGCTTATCCTGTAACAGACAGTGTTGTTTTCCCCTTTATGTACTGTACCTCCTACAAACACCACCTGTCTTCTACATCTTGTAGAAATGTTGTTATACACCATAATAAAAGAAGTGTAAGCTAGTGCAAGTATCTCATGTTGATTCACTGCTATACAAATGTTCATCCTTTAATAGTGTGGGATTACAAAGCATTATCATCCTCAGATTGACTCAGGTAGTGCTATTTTTATTTAATCTGTATTAAGGTATCATTGCGAATCTTTGCTCTTGCAGCATGGGGGTAATACGATTTACTATTTTTATAAAAAAAAAAAAATCAACATGGCTGTACAAATCCTGTCCATATCAAGAGCTGTAAATATTAGTCGTGAGCTCCACGCTTCTTTCTTTCTTCCTCTACAGTGAGTCGTCAGACTTTTAACTTCTGCGCCACCTCGATTACATTGGCCAGGCTTGGAGTAAAATACGAGCGTGTTTTGGCTTATGGTCGGGAACTTTCTGCTTGGTGGGAAATGCTTCAGGTTAAGCAGGGAGCTCCTGCTGGTTGCACCCCAGTCACGTCTGCGCGTGAAGGCACCTCGCGTGAGAGGGGGTAGCTCCCGCAGGTGGCAGTGCATTAATTACAGGAGCAATCAGTGAGAGCCTTGATGAGTTTTTTTCTTGCCTGAGGAGGTGCCCGTTGCTGGTGAGGGGTGGGTGGCAGAAGAGGGGGCTCTACAGGGATGAGACAGCACGAGGGTTTTTGGCCTTTTGGGTTTGCTGGGCAACCCCTCGCGAGGCTTTCCACACCGGGCGTAGCGTGGGGTTATGAGTCTGAGCGCTAACGGGCTCGTGGGTCCGTCTAGTTCCAACAAACGTGAGCTCCCTCGAATCTCATCGGTGCCGGTGGCCTCTGGAGCTTTTCCCAGGCCCTCTGCGGCTGTCAGATCAGCCCTGCTCCTCTTGGTGAGAAATGCCAGTATTTTGTAAGGATTTGCCCCTCTCTTGTTGATCACCCTACAATGGCTTGTAGCCCCGA